GGGGGGCGCAGCTCCAGCCCCCCCCCCATGCACCCCCTTCCCTGCCCTGCCAGGGAAGCACAGACACCCTGCACCGGGGGTGGGGGGGGACCAATCCAGGTTTTTCCCTAAAATTCCCCCACTGCTGCTAATTTGCAGGCTGCCTCCAAAAGCCGGGAGCAATGAATTACAGTTATTAGCACTATTACTACCATTATTTTCATTATTGTTATTGTTATTATTATTATTTAACAGCCTTTTCATTGCCTGGCAAAATTCAATATGACCTCTTGGCTTGAACGAGTCAACACGAGCGCGCCACGACAGCAAGAGAAAACAATAACAATAATAATAATAATTAATACCAAAAAAACCCCAAAACACCAGGAAAAGTTCAAAGCAGGGAGAGGAGCTAAAACCAGACAATCTCCTGCGGGAGGGAAAGGAAATAAAGAGGCATGACTGGAAGCTAAGCCCAATCCACAGCACTTGTCTGAAAACCCGGATTTCTCTTTTTTCCCCCCATATTTACAGGTTGGGAGGGTCTGAGATTTAAAGTCACTGGCCACATCGTGATGTCATAAAAATCTGGAGTTGAGAGTTATCTTTAGGTTTGCTTAAACTTAACTTAAGCAGTAACTGGTGCACATGGGATCCATTGCACATCGTCCCAGCATTTTATTATCCTGATTACTATTATTTTGGGGTGGGTTTGCGGGGAGATGTGGGAATAAAATAAGTCACCAGACATAAAAGTAAAACTAATTCACACTGACTGGTTTATTGAACACTGGGACTTTCACATACACACTAAAACTCTTTATTGCAAGTTTACAATGATCATGTAAAATCAGTCCAAAAACACAAATAACCACGACAAAAAACCCTAGCTACTGACTTTTTAAAACCTTCTTCTGCTGTTCTTTTTTAAATATGTCACTCTTTCTCTCTCTCACTCCCCTTTTTCTTCTCCATTTCTCAGCAAAGACTCGTCCACCCTTGTGTGCTGTTTCGTAGCTGCTTTTTGTTTGCCTTTTTTTTTTTCCTCTCTGAATCGTGATTTTTTTTAGCTTTTTTTCCACATTGCTACAAAAGAACTTCACAGCTCCTTCGCTCGTGGTGCATTTGTAATGCAGAGGGGAAAAAAATACCTACGTTCGCCTTTTTTTGTTTGGTTGGTTGTTTGTTTTTTGCCGTCAATATTATCATCACTTCTTCATTAAATTCACCCAACAGAACATTTACCTCTTCCTCCCCCCACCCTGCCCTCCCTCCCCATCCCCCAGCTTTAAAAAATAAATAAAACCCTGAAATGGCGTAAAAAAAACCCTGCAGGTACAGACACCTGGCCTCATGCTATCTGACATGCATCTAAAGCCCGTGGTCTTGGGGGGGGAGACCCATTGTTTTTTTATACGCGGAGGAAAAAGAAAAAAAAATAATAATTATTATTATAATAATAATAAAAGAAAAACTACGAGGGGAAGGGGGAGGGGGGGAAGAACCAAAATATATATATATATATATATATTAGATTCTATAAATAATCCAGAGTCATTCGTGTGCGGGTCTGGGGGGTGTTTATAACCTGGTGATATCCTCCGTGCGCGGGTCCTGCGCGGCGGCGGAGGGCAGCTCCTCGCCCGCGGCCGTGCTCGCCGGGGCGGCGGGGGCGGTGGAGGCGCTGGCAACCGCTGCCGTTGCTGCCCGTACTTTGGTGTTAGGCAGCCTGTGGTCTTTTTTCCATTTCATCCTCCTGTTCTGAAACCAGATTTTGATCTGTCGCTCGGAGAGGCAAAGGGAGTGGGCGATCTCGATGCGTCGCCGCCGGGTCAGGTACCTGTTATAGTGAAACTCCTTCTCCAGCTCCAAAACCTGCTGCCTGGTGTAGGCTGTCCTGGATCTCTTGGGTTCGCCTCCATTGTAATTGGGATTCACTGGAAAGGAGGGGAAGGAAAACAAAACAAACAAAAAAAAAAAAAAAGAAAGGAAAGGAGAAAAAAAAACAACAAAACAAAACAAAAAAGAACACAAAAAAAAAACACACAAGGAAAATCAGCGTGGATGGAGAGAGGGTCGGGAGAGGCGACTGGAGGAGCCGGGGGGGGGAAAGTAATAGGCTAAATAGGTAATAAAGAACTTTGGGCAGCTCAAGAGTTTCTATTCTAATAGGAAGGGGTTTCCCTGGCTCAAAAGACTGAATTATTTATGCACCCCTTACAAAGCTTTCGGAGTTTCACACATACATAACAGAACGAGCCACATGGCTAAGGCTGCCCACAGTAGCTCGGCTATAAAATTTATGGTGGGTGTAATTACCCATTCGGAGTCGTAAATCCAGTTCAATTGTGCTAACCCAAAGACTCTCATGGAAGGGAAGGAAATAAAAAAAAAGAGAGAGAGAGGGAGAGAGAGAGAGGCGAGAGGGAGCGAGCATGGTGTGAAAATAAGAGCGGAGAGACAGAAGAGGAAAATAAAAGTTGCATACCAGTACTGACGTGGATTTTTTTCATCCAGGGATAGACTATGGGCTGTTTGGAAGCTGTGCTGTTGGGATGGTCGGGGTTTGGCTGGTTGCAGGCTGGAGGGGCTGGGGAAGGAGTGGTGGAGGAGGTGGATAGAGCAGCCTGCTCGCAGAGCTGCTGTGCTTTCTCTGAGAGGTGTTGGCCTCCTGGAGTTTGCCCGTGTCCCCTTTGGAGCGCGGCCGGGTTGCCGGGAGCCTGGAGACCCCCGCAGCTGAAGGGGCGGTCGGGGAAGGAGGGTCGTGGCACTGGGTACAGCTCCTGGTGGTGATGCTGGTAGCTGGACTCCCTTGTCCGGCTATAATATTCCGGACTGTGGTCTGGGATGTAATTATTTTGCGAATATTCCTCGCATGGAGGAAATTTCGGATCGATGTAGTTAGAGTCCATCAAATAAGAGCTCATGATCATTAATTTCTGGAGTGGAAAATAATTTTTCTCGCTTTGTCGTTTTTCTGCTCCATAAAGCCCTCCTACTAGCTGGCGACCCCGTAAAGTTACTTTCACCATGTGACATCCCCGGCCAATCACACCCGCCAGCCCAGTCCCCGGATAAGGAACCAAAAGCTTCTGCAAAATGTACCCAAATTGGGGGGGGGGCCGTGGGAGTGGGAGTGGGGGCGCGGGGAGAGCCGGGGAGATGCGCTTCGGGGCGAGGGGCTGG